ACTCCAGCCTGGATGACAGAGACTCTGTCTCCAAAAAAACCCACTACACACACACACACACACACACACACACGTAATTTTCACACTATTGCCAACTTTCCAGTTGCAGTAATCAAAAAGAGATCAGGAATTCAAATTCATTTTTCTGTTGTCTTTAAGAAATGGGAACGGCTTGGAGACAGAAGCCTTCCCTGTATCCTTACATTCTCCCTACTGAAGGTGTAAATGGAAGAATTTAAGGAGAAGTAAAGCATGAAAAAGGTCCGGGGAACTTTTTGCCTATCATATTAGAAATGTTGGGATAATCAGGATGATTACTTTTTCCTGAGTGAAGAAGAATCAGTTATGGTAGACCTAATAAAAAGGCTGAGGTTTGAAAACGAGGGATTTTTAAAACAAGCATATTAGAACTAAAAGTGCAAGTGAGAGCTTTCTAAAAGTGATTCTGGGAAACTATACTTACTCTAGTAGCTTGTTCTTGCTTTATAATGTGTTTGGAACTCATCTTTTGTAGTTCTTCGGAGACGCATATACAAAATAAGGTGAGGGAGAGAACTGGATGATGTTTTTGGGGAAAACAGTATTAGAAATTGTCAGTGAACACCCTGCCCTGCACCAAAAGATACCTAAAAATACTTTGAATGATGATGGCATTATTGGTGTCAGTGAAGTCTTATCAAAATTAAACCTTCTTTTGGCTTTTGAACTGTGATTTGTGGCAGCCAAGTTACTAGGTAAGAGAGTGTTCTAAGGCTTTTTACTAAATATGGAAAAGATACTAGATTTCCCTTTTGTGTTTTTGCCTAAAACTGGTAAGTTGAATCTTGCTTTCCTCTGGTATGTAATAGTCAAGTTTGTTTCTTTCATTTTTTATGACTGACTTCTGCCCTTTCACAGACTCCCACTCCCTAAGAGCCCTTTCTCCAGTGTCTCATTTTCTTACGTGTTTATGTAAATGCAGGTGCTATATAATCAATTCTAGATCATCAATACTTAGCTTTAAATTCCAGATTTGGTGTTCTTAGCACATATAAAGGTAGGGTGACTTTACCCTTACCATTACCACTGGCACATCTAGTTGCCTGTTGGGTATGTGTTCAAGAAATTTCAGCAAATTTTAACACTGGCTAAAGTAAAATACCGTCATTCATTGCTTAACAGTGGGGATATGTTCTGAGAAGTGAATAGGCAATTTCATCATTGTACTAATAATCTAGTGTGTACTTACACAAACCTAGGTGGTATAGCCTACTACGCACCTAGGTTATATGGTATATCCTATAGCTTCTAGGCTACAAATCAGTACAGCATGTTACTGTACTGAATACTGTAGGCAGTTATAGCATGCCAGTAAATATTTGTGTATCTAAACATAGAAGCAGTGAAAATATAGTATAAAAGGCAAAAAAAAAAAAAAAAAAAGAATATACCTGTATAGGGCACTTCTTGTGATGGACTTTGCAGGACTGAAAGTTGCTCTAAGTGAGTCAGTGAGTGAATAGGAGTAAATGTGAGGGCCTAAGACACTTCTGTAGATTTTATGAACAGTGTTTTATTTTTTAATTATAAAATTTTTTTTTTCAATAATAAACTAGGCTGGGTGCACTGGCTCACTCCTGTAATCCCAGCACTTTGGGAGACTGAGGTGGGCGGATCACCTGAGGTCAGGGATTCAAGACCAGCGTGGCCAACATGGTGAAACCCTGTCTCTACAAAAATACAAAAAGTAGCCGAACATGATGGTGGGTGCCTATAATCCCAACTACTTGAGAGGCTGAGGTGAGAGAATCGCTTGAACCTAGGAGGCGGAGGTTGCAGTGAGCCGAGATCACTCCATTGCACTCCAGCCTAGGCAACAGAACAAGACTCCGTCTCAAAAAAATAATAATACTACTAATAATAAACTAAGCTTAGTCTATAACTTTTTAACTTTATATACTTTTGAATTTTTTCAAATTTTTTCTACTTTTGTAATAATACTTAGCTTAAAACACAAATACATTATACCACTATACAAAAGCATTTTCTTTATATCCTTACTCTATAAGCTTTTGTCTATTAAATTTTTTTTTAACTTTTTAAACTATTTTGTTAAAAACCAAGACATAAACATACACATTAGCCTGCAGAGGGTCGGGGTCATCAGTATCACAGAGCAGCATCATTATCACTGTCTTCTGCCTCCACATCTTTTCCCACTGTAAGATCTTCAGGTACGGTAACACAGATGAGCTGTCATCTCCTGTGATAACAATGCCTTCTTTTGGATACCTCCTAAGAGACCTCCCTGAGGCTGTTTTACAGTTAATATTAAGAAAAAAATAAATAGAAAGAATGCATGCTAAAATAATGTTTCAAGTACAGAATAATAAATGCATAAACCAGTAACACAGTCATTTATTATGTACTATTCCTAATGGTATGTGCTACGTTTTTACATGACTGGCAGCACAGTTTGATTTACACAAGCATCACCACAAATGAGTAATGTGTTGTGCTATGATGTCCTGACGGCAACAGTGTCACTAGGAGATAAGCATTTTTTAGTTCTACTGTAATCTCATGGGAACACCGTCTCTCATATATATATATATGCGCGCAGTTCGTCATTGAAATGTCATTATACTGCACATGACTGTATTAAAAGGTAAACTTGCAGTATAAGCAACATTTTTTTTTTTTTTTTTGAGGCGGAATCTCCCTCTGTCGCCCAGGCTGGAGTGCAGTGGCCGGATCTCAGCTCACTGCAAGCTCCGCCTCCCAGGTTTACGCCATTCTCCTGCCTCAGCCTCCCGAGTAGCTGGGACTACAGGCGCCCGCCACCTCGCCCGGCTAGATTTTTGTATTTTTTAGTAGAGACGGGGTTTCACCGTGTTCGCCAGGATGGTCTTGATCTCCTGACCTTGTGATCCGCCCATCTCGGCCTCCCAAAGTGCTGGGATTACAGGCTTGAGCCACCGCGCCCGGCCTAAGCAACATTTTTAAAAGTAACTGCTTATTAGATAGAATTCTCATACCATCAATCTACTCACTTAAAGTGTACAAGTCAGCTGGGTGTGGTGACTGAAGCCTGTAATCCTAGACTTTGGAAGGCTGAGGTGTGCCGATCGCTTGAGCAGAGGAGTTCCAGACCAGCCTGGCCAACATGGGGAACCCCTGTCTCTACTAAAAAAAATTAGCTGGGTGTGGTGGTGCACACTGGTGGTGTCAGCTGTGGGAGGCTGTAGGTAGGAGGATCACCTGAGCCTAGGAGGTTGAGGTTGCAGTGAGCCTTAATCCAGCCACTGCATTCCAGCCTGGGCAACAAAGCACAATCCCATCTCAGAAAATAAAAAATAAAATAAAGTGTACAATCCAGCTTTTAGTATATTCACAGGGTTGTATAAATGTCACCACTATCGAGTTCCAGAACATTTTCCTTGCTCTCGGAAAAAACCCATACTATTAGCAGTCACTTCTCTTATTCTTCATTTTCTCTAGTCCCTGGCAACTATGAATCTACTTTCTGTCTCTATGGATTTGCCTATTATAGACATTTTATTTAAATGAAGTCATACAATATATGGTCTTTTGTGACTAGCTTTTTTTTACTTGGCATAATGTTTTCAGAGTTTGTCTGTGTCATGGCACATAGCAGTATTTCATTCCTTTTTGTGATTAAATGACATCCCATTTTGTAGGTATTACCACATTTTGTTAATCCATTCATCAATTGATTGACATTTGGGTGGCTTCTACCTTTTGGCTGTTGTGAATAACACTAGCGTGAACATTTGTGTATAAGTTTTTGTTTTGAAAAGAAGAGCGTATGTTTTCAGTTCTTTGAGTTATATACCTAGGAGCAGAATTATTAGGTCTTACGATAACTTTTAACTTTTTGAGGAACTTTCAAACTGTTTACCAGTGTCTGCACCATTTTACATTCCCACCAGCAATGTATGAGGCTTCCAGTTGATCTATATTCACATCAGCACTTGTTATTGTTTATCTCTTTGATGATAGTCATTCTGGTGGGTATAAAGTGGTATTTCGTTGTGGTTTTGGTTTGCATTTTTGTAATGACTAATGAGAATTGAGCATTTTTCAGGTGCTTATTGTACATTTGTATATCTTCTTGGGAAAGACATGTTATCTTTAAAGCTAAATATTGATGATATGCTGTTTGGAATGCTGTGGGGTTTTTGTTGTTGTTGTTGTTGTTTTTTGAGACGAAGTTTCGCTCTTGTTGCCCAGGCTGAAATGCAATAGCGCGATCTCGGCTCACTGCAACTTCCGCTTCCCAGGTTCAAGCAATTCTCCTGTGTTAGCCTCCTGAATAGCTGGGATAACAGGCATGTGCCACTACACCCAGCTTATTTTGTATTTTTAGTAGAGACGTGGTTTCTCCACATTGGTCAGGCTGGTCTCTAATCTCAAACTCCCGACCTCAGGTGATCCACCCATTCCTGCCTCCAAAGTACTGGGATTACAGGCGTGAGCTCCGGCACCCGGACTGGAATGCTGTTCTTTAGATTAACTTTCTTCCTTTATCTGAGACAGGGTTTTTGATCCATTAATTCAAATATTTTAGTCTATTTTTGAGATTGCTTTACAAAGCTAATTTTAAATACAGCTCTCCCCTATGAAAAAAGTATATTTTGTATCCTGGCTTGAAATTTCTCTGAATACAGTTTGTCCCCACTCTGATGAACAATGATAGACAAATGAAATATTTAGTAGACTTTCTTTCATCCTGTTTTTATTGTGAATTTATATCTCTATGTTCAAAGAATTAGCAAGGGTAAAATTCATAGAGGACCCAGTGGCTCATTAAAACTTCAATATATTCTGTGGATTCTGAGAATATCAGCTATGTTGAGAGGAAGAAAAGATCCATAAGGCAAGGAAAATAGCAACTGAGTTTGAAAGTAGCACTTTGCACATGTAGGGAAATCTATGACCACTAGTAGGTAGGAATGAAAAAGTACATGATTTCATCCGTGTGTTCCTTTCTCTCCCAGCGTGGTACCATGCGACGACGCTATGAAGATGATGGCATTTCAGATGATGAAATTGAAGGGAAAAGAACTTTTGACTTGGAAGAGAAACTGCACACCAACAAATATAATGCCAATTTTGTTACTTTTATGGAAGGAAAAGGTCAGTATCGTTTTGGTTCCAGCATATAGTCCTTTGATGTGGGAAGCCATAGACTCTGAGCATTGGGGGTTTAGCATTTATCCAGCTAAAATATTGCCTGTTGATGTTTATTATTTCTCCTTCTTTCTTTTTTTTTTTTTGAGATGGAGTCTCGCATCTGTAGCCCCAGGCTGGAGTGCAGTGGCCGATCTCAGCTCACTGCAAGCTCCCACCTCCCGGGTTCACGCCATTCTTCCTGCCTCAGCCTCCCGAGTAGCTGGGACTACAGGCGCCCACTACCTTGCCCGGCTAGTTTTTTGTATCTAGTAGAGACGGGGTTTCAGCCGTGTTATCCCAGGATGGGTCTCGACTCCTTGACCTCGTGATCCACCCGTCTTGGCCTCCCAAAGTGCTGGGATTACAGGCTTGAGCCACCGCGCCCGGCGATGTTATCTATTTTCTCTTGTTATACAATGCCACTTGTATGCACTTGTCCCCTAGTCCTCCCACCCTGTCCTCCCACCCTGTGAGTCATTCTCTGCTATATTAGAAGTAATCTTTTATTAGGGCAAGAGTATTGTCGGATATTTTTGCCTAACAGCCTCTTCCTCCTCCTTCCATCCCTTGGTTTAAGTTTAATTAAAAACAGTACAATAAAAATCCTTTTATGTGTATATCTACTCCACCAAAACTGAGGGTGGGGTTCCATGCGCACCATACATCTTTGATCTTTGGCAAACTGATAAGGATGTCATATATGTATTGTAGTGGTCAAAATTAAATTTTTTTTAACTTTTTTTTTTTTTTTTTTGAGATGGAGTCTTGCTGCGTCACCCAGGCTGGAGTGTAGTGGTGCAGTCTTGGCTCACTGCAACCTCCGTCTCCCAGGTTGAAGCAATTCTCCTACCTCAGCCTCCTGAGTAGCTGGGATTACAGGCACGTGCCACCATACCCCATTAATTTTTTTTTTTTAATGTATTTTTAGTAGAGACAGGATTTCGCCATGTTGGCCAGGCTGGTCTTGAACTCCTGACCTCAGGTGATCTGCCCACCTTGGCCTCCCAAAGTGCTGGGATTACAGGCATGAGCCACCACGGCGCCCGGCGTTTCTTTTTCACTCTTGAGAGACAGGGTGATGATAATTTCTGTTTAGCATTTATGAGATGACTCATTAGTAGTACTATCCCCATATTGTTTAAGCTCTAAATTTCCTGTGGAAATATATAGACTTGGCAAACCCCTCAAGCCTTGCTTCTCAATGTGTTCTCCATATTTTCTAAGAGATGCTTCTTAATAAGCATATGTTTTATTGACTAACAGCATAACTATATACACAGAATAACAAACACCATTTATACTGTATTACTTAGGATCCTTTTTATGGTCCTTTTATTGTTTTTAATTATACCTCTTATCTTTTTAATAATTATTTTCCTATGGTGACAGATTTTAATGTAGAGTATATTCAGCGGGGTGGCTTGAGAGATCCTCTGATTTTCAAGAATTCTGATGGACTTGGAATAAAGTAAGTGTTTAAAGCTTGGCTGGATATAGTTGCAAAATGGCCTTGTTACACCCAGGGCTATAAACAGTGGTGGTATATACCCAGAACAGTAGTAATTGAAAATAATTTCCCACTTAGTTTTAAAAGTGTATGTTTTTGTTTTGATACACAAGTGTTTCATATTAGAGGTAAATGACAAAATATAGATGAACCAAAAAAAAAATTTTTTTAATCTCCTGAAATGTGCCACCCTTAGATAAATCATTAACATTTTGTTATGTATTCTTTTTTCCTATGCATATGTGTAAATATATAGTCACCTATATTTTAAAAATAATTTAAAACCTGATTATGAATATTGCTGTGTCTGGGGAGTTCTCAGTACTTTAAGAAAAAAAAACTCACATTTACTAGAGAAATTATGTTTTCCATATATACTTACTGGTGTTTGTTTCATAGAATGCCGGATCCAGACTTCACTGTGAATGATGTCAAAATGTGTGTAGGTAAGTGTCTGTCTTTAAGGCAAAGATTTAAGACTTAGGACTGAATTAAATCTCTGACTGAGATTTAAGGCCTAGGAACACTGAAGTATATATTTGATTAGAAACTACATTTTCATTAGGAACAGAATTTTATCAAAGAGAGTTACAGAAGTTGCCTTATTTAATACACATTAAACATAGAAGGTTGGAATCTCTTTTTCCTACCTTCATACTTCCTTCTCTCCATGAAGAGTGTGTCTTCTGGGGCAACCTTTCCAAGAAACCGAAAACTTAGATCTCTGAGCCAAGAATGAAGTTTCATTAATATCCGTGATACCCTTCATTTCCCTAAAAGCAGTAGAGAAATTTCCAGGAAATGCTCGCCAATGCTGCATTTGGAAACTTACCTAAGACTTGAAACTTTATAAGCTGAGAAGTAGATACATTAAAATTGAGTCTTTTAATTATTTTATTATATTCAAAATTTAGGAAAAAGAAAGCAAATTAGATTCATCTAATTAAAGAAGAAAATTCTTGATGTTAGTAAAGTTTCAGCCTAGTTTTCTGCAGACAGTGGTGTTCGTTGTGGTCCTCAGACACCCCAGCATCCTTAGGAGTTCAGGGATGGTCAGTAAAATGGAATAAAGTCTTTTTGTCTTTTTTTTTTTTTTTTTTTTTTTTTTTTTTTAGACAGAGTCTCTCTCTGTCGCCCAGGCTAGACTGCAGTGGCACAATCTCAGCTCACTGCAACCTCTGCCTGCCGCATTCAAGCAGTTCTCTCACCTCAGCCTTCCGAGTAGCTGGGATTGCAGGCATGTGCCACCACACCCGGCTAATTTTTGTATTTTTAGTAGAGATGTTTCACCATGTTGGCTAGGCTGGTCTTGAACTCCTGACCTCAAGCAGTCCTCCCGCCTTGGCCTCCCAAAGTGCTCAGATTACAGGTGTGAGCCACTGCGCCTGGCCAGAATAAAGTCTTTTTGAAATGCTTCCAATAGGACTTAAAACGAAGGGACTTTTTTGATTTTCTTCCTAGTACTAGAATTTCTATTATCTTTTGTCCTCTGTACTAAAGCTCCAGTGCCATTCCTTTGCTTTGAAAATGAAGTGCTGCAGTACTGTCTCCTGGCCACTTGAGGGTCCATGTTAGACTACCGACTCTTCTGTTTATCTAAAAGGTGAAAGTCACAGATATCCCAGGTAGAGGAAAGTTCCCAAATCTCTGTTTTATTCATCCTTATTGTTTCTGTGTTAGATCCTGGCCATCTGCCTGTTGCCATGTATTCCCTAGTACTTATCACAGTTCCTGGAATATAGTAGGTGCTCAGTAAATCCACTGAATAATGAAAATGCTCTCCCACTCTTCACAAGACAGAACACTCTCAGGGGACCTCAGAAAACCTACCTGAATATGTAATAGTCTATCATTTGACCTCCTTTATTAAAGAACCTCCAGGACAGTAATTCCCTGTTTCTGTAAAGCTTCCCTCTTGATGAGACATTCTTACAGTTTGTGGTCCACAGATGACCTGCATCAGAATTATTTGTGATATTGTTAAAAATGTAGACTCGCAGAGAGGATTGTAGGAAGATGGCAGAGTAGCAAGCACCAGGAACTTTTCTCCTTACCTAGATAATAATTGCACTGGCAGAATCTGTCTGATACAACTATTTTGGAATTCGGGAGTCTATTGAAGGCTTGCAAATTTCAGAGACAGCTTGGACAATAAAGTACAGTTAATTTCAGTCAGTTTCAGGCCTTAGCACAGTAAGAACTTCTCCATTCTTCCCTGCCAACCAAGCCCTATGACAAGCAGCTGTGCGTATGTTTCCCCGAAAAATTTGCACAGCTTATGGGAACCAGGATGAGCAAACAGGAACCTTTCCTCCAAATAATGGGATCCATGCTGTGGTCACTGAGTGCTGCTTCTGATCACAGAAGTACAGACAAAGAGGCAGGTGGGGCCAGGCACAGTGGGTCACACCTGTAATCTTGGCACTTTGGGAGGCTAGGAGGCAGGTTAATTGCTTGAGCTCAGGAGTTCAAAACCAGCCTGGGTAACACAGCGAAGCCCCGTCTTTACTAAAAATACAAAAATTAGCCGGGCGTGGTGGTAGGTGCCTGTAATCCCAGCTACTCAGGAGGCTGAGGCAGGAGAATCGCTTGAACCCGGGAGGCGGAAGTTGCAGTGAGCCAAGATTGCACCACTGTACTCCAGCCTGAGTGACAGAGACAGACCCTGTCTCAAAAAAAAAAAAAAAAAAAGGGCAGGTGGGGCAATTGTTGTTGCATCTTCCCCTAATTGTTGCAGTCTTCTTCCTCTCAGCTGAACTGACTTCCAGGGCATTTAAAAGGCTACTGTGGCCGGGCACGGTGGTCCACGCCTATAATCCCAACACTTTGGGAGGCCGAGGTGGGCATATCACAAGGTCAGGAGTTTGAGACCAGCCTGACCAACATGGTGAAACCCCGTCTTTACTAAAAATACAAAAATTAGCCGGGCGTGGTGGTAGGTGCCTGTAATCCCAGCTACTCAGGAGGCTGAGGCAGGAGAATCGCTTGAACCAGGAGGCGGAGGTTGCAGTGAATGAAGATTGTGCCACTGCACTCCAGCCTGGGTGACAGAACGAGACTCATCTCAGAAAAAGGTAGGGGGGGTGGGGGGATGGGAGGTAGGGGGATGGGCGGGGGCCTGTTGCCTGCCCCCCCGCCCGGCCAATTTTAGTTTTCTCTTTTCCCCTTTGAGAGCCAGACATTAACAACTAGCACATTCAGAATAGGAAGTGACTGCATATGCACATGGAAGGTGCGCAGGCTCAGAGAAGATGTAAGAAAACTTAAGTGTATACCTCAGATTGATCCTTGACACAGAGATAGCCTACAAAAAAACAAAAACAAAACACACAATAATAAAACAGAAAATCCTGGGGAAGAGAGAGAATTGGATTTAAAGAGTTACCACATTATTAAATTCAGATGTCCAGTTTTCAACAAAAAATCATAAGGCATATGAAGAAAGAGGAAAGTATGACCCATTCAAAGGAAAAAAAATCAATAGAAAATGTCTTTGAAAAAGTCCTGATTGTGGATCTAACAGACAAAGATTTTTAAATAGCTGTCTTAAAGATGCTCAAAAAACTAAGGAATATGTGGAGGGAGTCAAGGAAGGAATGTATGAACAAAATGGAAATATCAATAAAGAGACAGAAAACCTTAAACCAAAAGGAAATTCTGGAGCTGAAAGTACAATCATTAAAATGAAAACTTAGATTCACAGGCAGATTTGAACAAGCAAAAGAATCAGCAAAGATAGGACAGTGGAGATTATTAAGTCTAAGGAACAGAATGACAAAAATAGAAGAAAAGTGAACATATAGGTTAAATGTTATCCCTGCTGGGCGCGGTGCCTCACACCTGTAATCCCAGCACTTTGGGAGGTCAAGGTGGGTGGATCACTTGAGGTCAGGAGTTTGAGGCCAGCCTGCCCAACATGGTGAAACCCTGTCTCTACTGAAAATACAAAAGTTAGCTGGGCGTGGTGGTGGACCCCTGTAATCCCAGCTACTTGGGAGGGCTCAGGTAGGAGAATCTATTGAACCCAGGAGGTGGAGGTTGCAGTGAGATGAGGTCGCAGCACTGCACTCCAGCCTTGGTGACGAGCAAAACTGTCTCAAAAAAAAAAAAAAAAGTTATGCCTTCCAAAATTTATGTTGAAATTGAATTGCCATTGTAACAGTATTAAGCGGTGGGACCTTTAAGAGATAATTAGGCTACAGGGACTCCACTCTCATGGGTGGCATTGGTGCTGTTAAAAAAGGATGAGTTCGGCCGGGCGCGGTGGCTCAAGCCTGTAATCCCAGCACTTTGGGAGGCCGAGACGGGCGGATCACGAGGTCAGGAGATCGAGACCATCCTGGCTAACACGGTGAAACCCCATCTCTACTAAAAAAAAAAAAAAAGACAAAAAACGTGGCGGGCGCCTGTAGTCCCAGCTACTCGGGAGGCTGAGGCAGGAGAATGGCGTGAACCCGGGAGGCGGAGCTTGCAGTGAGCCGAGATCCGGTCACTGCACTCCAGCCTGGGAGACAGAGTGAGACTCCATCTCAAAAAAAAACACACACACACACAAGAAAGGATGAGTTCGGCCCCCTCTTGCTTTCTCTCATTCTCTTACTGTCTTGCTTTTCACCATGTGATGATGCAGCAAAAAGGCCCTCACCAGATGCTGGCACCTTGATTTTAGACTTCCTAGCCTCCACAACTGTGAGCCAATAAATTGCTGTTCATCGTAAATTACCTACCAGGTATTCTGTCAACAGCAACCCAAAATGGACTGACAGTCTAAAGGAACATTTTTGACACCATTAAGCAGACCAACATACACATTATAAAAGTACCAGAAGGAAAATAGAAAGGAGCAGAGAGAATATATATTTGATCAAATACTGGCTGAAAATTTCCCAAATTTGACGAAAGACATAAGTACAAACATCCAAACAGCTCAGTGAACTCCGAATAAGATGAACTCAGAGACCCTCACCAAGACACATTATAATCAAACTTTCAAAAGCCAAAGACAAACTCTTGAAAGTATCAAGAGAGAAATGACTAAATGATTCATTACATAAAGGTATCCTCAGTAAAGTTATGAACCAATTTCTCATCAGAAACTTTGGAGGCCAGGAGGCAGTGAGCCAGTGTATTCAAAGTGCTAAAAGGAATACAAAACAAAACTGTCAACCAAGAATCCTATATCTGGCAAAACTGTCCTTCAAAAGGGGCGAGAAATTAAGACATTCTCAGAAAAACAAAAGCTAAGGAAACTTGTTACCACTGGACCTGCCTTGTAAGAAATGCTCAGGAGAGTCCTGCAAGGTGAAATGAAAGGACATTAGATTGTAACTTGAAGCCATATGAAGAAATATCTCGATAAAGGTAAATACATGGGTAATTGTAAGAGCTAGTATTATCTTAACCATGGCTTGTAACTCCTTTTTGTTTTCTCCATAGTTTAAGAGAC